ATTTATCTTATTCATCTTGTGTATCTTATGTATCTTAGTTATCTTATCTATTTGTTTATCACATTTATCTTATTTATCTTATTTATCTTATTTCATTTGTTGAGGCATAGATGTTTGGTCAGATCTTTAAAGACTGACGTCTGTGATGTTGGGTTAGGCACCTCGCTGTCGGACGTATAGGAGCCGAGTTCGTTCCCCGATTGGAGGGAAATTTTTATTGAGTGTCTCGGTCTTTCTGCAGGGATATTATATTCCCTCTCTGCTCGGGTTGTCCCTGGCGGACACTGTCGGAAGCCCGACTCCTAAATGATCTAAATCGTGTCGATATGGATATAAAAACACCTATATATTAAAAAAAATAAGAGCTTTTACGTGTGGGTAGCTATATCGTAGCAGAATGACCGAGGTATGGGAAAAATATGTGAGGCAGTGTGGTGGAATCAGGCTCTCGTCAAAATAATCAAAGTGAAGAAAATTGCGTTTTTCCGCAGGTTTGTGAATTTTTATCAAATTTTTGTTTTTAGGCTAAACATCTTTCATGCCCATTAAAGAACACATTTCTGAGTGGATTTTTCCGAAAAACGTTGATTAAAAGCACAAAAAGGACTCTTAAGCTAAGGAAATGACTAATCTTTGGCGGCCATTTTCTCACTAATTTTACCTCTGAAAACAGGTGACTCCCACCTCCTTCATTTGCAAATATCTTGACTTGTATTCAAGATAAATCAATATTTTTTCATACAAATAAAGAAAAGTGAACAAGCTTTAAGTTTATAAAATAACTCTATATGCCTCAATATTGACGAGAGCCTGATTCCACCACGCTGCCTCACATATGTTGTTTTTTTCTTGTTGAGCTCACTTAAGATACTATAAGATAAGATAAGATAAGATAAGATAAGATAAGAAAAGAAAAGATAAGATAAGATACGACCTTTCAAAAGTGGAACTAAAACTGAAACTGTAACATATTTCACCTAAAAGCATTTTATGACATGAAATAATAGATCGTTTGCTTTCAGCTGCGCCGAAAACTATAACTGAGCTTGATTTTCAAAACCGAGAGTTTTATTTTGACAAATTCATTCATTTTTATTACTTATTGGGTCAACTAGCTGGCCAGATTGAAACGGCTTGCGAATCGTAGCTTGCCTGTGCTTGGTTTAGTTGTTTTGGATTGAAATCAGTTTCTAACATTGATCTTATCTTTTGTACTCCAAGTTCAGCCCTTAGACGAGCTCATTGTGGTGCAAGAGCCATAAACTCTAACTAAAACTAAAGCATACACCAAACTTGGCACTTATACGACTTTATTGTGCTGTAAGTGCCGTAAAACACTCACTAAAACTAAAACATACTCCATGCAAGCCCCTTTTTATCGCCTGCCTGCATTTCTATCTGTTTCCAATCCCACATCATCCTTTTCTGCTTGCAGACGTCCCCAAATCAGAGCGAGTGAAACCTTCCCCCACCACGACGCTCCCAACGCCACCCGTTTATCACGACGATCCGGAGGATACGTATTATTATTATTATCACTCTCAAGATGATGAAGACGACGAGGACGATGCCATGTACACACCCGATGATGATGAAGATGATAACGTGTTCTCGGACCATGACTTGTCAGATGACACAGACACACACACGGACACACACACGGACACACACACGGACACCCACACAGACACACGCACAGTCAAACCCACAGACACACACACAGACATGCACACAAACGGCACCCCTGAGACAGATCCAACGGAGTCGAGCACTACGCAGGAAGTGAAACCTACTGTAAGGAGAAAAGTAAACGATACTTTTTCCCAAGTTCGGTGAGAAATGTTTCTGTATTGTTGTTCATTTTTGTTGAATGACTGCGTTACCTCAGTGGAAGGACATAGCATAACACCAAGAGGCTATCCCAGGATCATAGCATAACACCAAGAGGCTATCACAGGATCATAGCATAACACCAAGAGGCTATCCCAGGATCATAGCATAACACCAAGGGGCTATCCCAGGATCATAGCATAACACCAAGGGGCTAGTCCAGGATCATAGCATAACACCAGGAGGCTATCCCAGGATCATAGCATAACACCAAGAGGCTATCCCACGATCATAGCATAACACCAAGGGGCTATCCCAGGATAGGGGAAAGAGGAAAGTGATTGTGCGTGACCTATGCCCTGGTACAAGAGGAAAAAAGTCAATGATGATGAAGAGTCGAGTTTAAGAATTGGCTTCTGTACCCCACAAAACGGAACAGGAAGACCTAATGCAGGGAGTGATTCTATAATGGAACAACGATTACCCCTACGCCCCCTTTTCCCCTTCCCAATTATAAGTACGTGACATAACAAACGGGGATAAAATTTGACTTGACAGAAACATAGCAGACGTTAATGGTTTACAATACTGAACTTTATTAAACATATTCTGTTTCATTTTATTGCGTATCTAACACAGTGTCGAGACAAAATGATATGGTCGAGCCGTTAGCTCAGTTGATGTCACATTCGGATGTGATGCAGGGGACCAGGTTCGAATCTCCAGTTCGGCGTCCTCATACTCTTTGGGGGAGTCTTAAAAAACTCTCCGCCTTTCTGGCCTAGCGGAGAGGGAGGTCTGGTCTCTTGCATAATTTTACAGTTCAAAAAGGAGTTTCAAATCCACCCATTTATAAATAATCGTCAAAAAGTGCAAGTGTCAAATGTAGAACAGACATCGGGATTAATGGTTCTGTGCTCATTTTGCCGCTTGGGTACCCTAAAAAAACAGCCTAAATATTATTCTGGTGTTTCCATGTACCCCATTTGTTCAGGTTATCTAAATAAGTTTCAGTTTTACTCATATTGTTCAATAGTCTGTTGCCCGTAGGTATCTTTACATCTTACAGACTTCAACAAAAGTTAGAGACCATTTGCAAACACTCTGAGTGGTCTTCTTGGGTCGACCTGCACGTGGACGTTCTTGGACTGATCCAGTGGCGTGATGGTGCTGCCTCAGGCGGACAATGACAGAGTATGACACTGCGAGTCATCTGGCAACTTCTCGGGCTCCAGCACCATCCTCCAGCCTTGCCATAGCTCTGGCACGATCAAAATCTCTCAGCTTTCGTATTGGTGATATGTTGATGCAATACAGGATTTTGCGCAAACGGTGGCGTATATTGCCACCAAAGTGAGCACAGTTCGAGACCGCACGTCCGTTTATGACGTGCACCAGAAATTTTAACTGAGGAAAGTCCTTGGTGCCGCACACAAGTCAATAAAAAACAGCAAATGTGGCTTAAATTCAACGAGGATTTTTGTGCTGCCCGTGGTGGTTATGGTCCTTTAGGAGGCTTTGAAGTACGCGTTGGTAACCAATTAACACTTTCAGTACACGTTGGCAACCCATTAACACTTTCAGTACACGTTGGTAACCCATTAACACTTTCAGAGCAAACATTTTGAAACATTCCTTGCTATCTTTTTTCGGATATTTTAAAAAATTAGGACTGTCTGTCAAAGTGGTCTTTAACTTATGTTGAAGTCTGTAGGAGAAGTCAGAGGTAACCCCCGCTCTGTATGTTTTTCTAGTTCTCCAAAGAGGAGGTATTTAATGAAAGTGTCAAGCCATAATATGTATGTAGTTATGAGTGAGTGTCGTCTGAGTGGTGGAATTGCCTGGGGGATTTCTTACTTTTGCAGCACATTTGATAACGTTATTCCAAGGGTTTTTCAAACCAAAAAAATCTGAAATAAATGAAAAAGGAACAAATAGGCCAATAAATAAATAAATAGGTAACCGAATAAATGAATAAATAAATAATTTTTTAAAGTAAATAAATGAATATATAATAGAAGAGTAAATTGTATTTAATGAGTGAATGAATAGATAAATAAATAAATAA